CATTTTATTATCAAAGAGAAACCCAAATGGTAAAAGCAAAGATTTCGAACGCAGTGATACCAGTATGGGTATTTTATTTGCTGTTTGTACCCAGAAACAACTGTGCACATTTTGCTTTTTTATCCTACGTAAAACACACTGACACTGTCACTGATACTAAATGTTTTAAGAAAAAAAAAAACTACCCAAAAATATACCGACACTTGACCCTAACCTTGACCCTAACACTAACCCTGACACTGACCTAGACCAAAACCTTGATCTAGATATTTTTTTCTTTATTATAATTTTTTACACACTTTTGTTTATTTGCATCTTTCTTTCCTGCTGCGTGGCACATTCCTAGCACACAGACACAGATATGCAACCTCACTTCTAAAGACCCATTTCAGTGAGTCCATATATCTCTGTACCATCACGGGAAGGGGTTAATAACCAGCCTTAAAGCTGATAAAAAATAAATGAACATGAATGAATGGCTGCTGCTGCATTGTGTAATACTGTTACTTTCATTCCCCCCGTACAGTACAGTCAGCACTGGACTTCTGGCACTGAAAATTACAGTTCCAGATCACAGAGGACCATTTGCTCTGCAGGTCACCTATTCCAAAACCATCCAGCATTCTTCTTTTTAATGATGCACTCTGTGATTGGGGGTTGTGCAAATGAAAATCCCAATCTCCCTTTCTCCAGAAGGAACGTTGCATTGTTGAAAAGAAAGCAAGACATTTTCAGGATAGATGAGCTGCAGGGTGAGCAACCTGCTGTGATCTTCATACCTTAGCCGGAACTGTAAGTTTCATCATGGGATGTTTGGTGCTGACTCTACTGTATGGGGGATGAGAGAGTATTGCATAATGCAGCAGCGGGCACACATTGCACACACTTCATTAGTGTTTATTATTACAGTGCAATGGGCAAAAATTGTTTTTGGCTAGAGTTTGGCTTTAAAAGAGTCTGGCATAAGCTATCATGGTCAGTTACCAACATTTTCAAATCTGAATAGGAGGATCGTCACCCATTTTGTAGTACCTTTTGCAAAAGGGTCAACTGCCAATTAAGACAGTTCTTTGCAAAGTTTTATTGAGCTTGAGTTTATTGCTTTTTTTCAAGAATTCATTAGACTTTAGTACTGCTTGAAAACCCAGGATTGCAAGATTGTAATTTGAAATTCATACTCACACAATGTGTTTGGTATGTGCATGCTTTTAGATTTCAGTGAAAACAGCAGTAATCATAGGCTCACTTAGCATCTTGCTCTGTATTTTATGATGGTGCTGCATCAGCGCTGCCTTTTGTATCTACTCAGACTACTGTCAAAATAAAAAGAATGTAGAGGCAGGCAACCTTCACAGGGCACTCTCACGGGAACTCATGGGAAAAAGGCACTAGAACAAACATTTTTCAAGTTCACAGAATACCACAAGCATCTGTCAGTTCAGACACATCAGTGTTATCTTTACTCATGTATGTCAGAAGCTCACTAGAGCTATATAATGTTTTTATAGAAAGACATAGTAGGAAGCCTGGCCTACATCCCTACATTTCATTTAGGTCATGGAAATTAGCATTTTAATTATTTATAGGAATCACACTTGCTAAAGAACCTACATCTTGGGAATGCTATTAATATTTTAATGCCTTATTACTCATATGTTGTTTTTTTCTGGGTATATTACTGTGTTAAAGAGACACTCCAGTCACAACTAGTAATAGTTTTTCTTTTTCTATGTAGCTGTCCTCAATTTATACCAAAGCTAGATTTACAGAAACCCTGTTTTTGGACAAGTCACTTCAACAAAATTATTTCTATAAAAATATACAGTATCTCACAGAAGTGAGTACACTCCTCACATTTTTGCAAATATTTTATTATATTTTTTCATGTGACAACACTGAAGAAATGACACTTTGCTACAATGTAAAGTAGCGAGTGTACAGCTTGTATAACAGTGTAAATTTGCTGTCCCCTCAAAATAATTCAACACACAGCCATTAATGTCTAAACCGCTGTCAACAAAAGTGAGTACACCCCTAAGTGAAAATGTCCAAATTGGGCCCAAAGTGGCAATATTTTTGTGTTGCCGCTATTATTTTGCAGCACTGCCTTAACACTCTTGGGCATGGAGTTCACCAGATCTTCACAGGTTGCCACTGGAGTCCTCTTCCCCTCCTCCATGACGACATCACAGAGCTGGTGGATGTTAGAGGCATTGCGCTCCTCCACCTTCCATTTGAGGATGCCCCATAGATGCTCAATAGAGTTTAGGTCTGGAGACATGCTTGGCCAGTCCATGACCTTTACCCTCAGCTTCTTTAGCAAGGCAGTGGTCGTCTTGGAGGTGTGTTTGGGGTCGTTATCATGTTGGAATACTGCCCTGCGGGCCAGTCTCCGAAGGGAGGGGATCATGCTCTGCTTCAGTATGTCACAGTACATGTTTGCATTCATGGTTCCCTCAATGAACTGTAGCTCCCCAGTGCTGGCAGCACTCATGCAGCCCCAGACCATGACACTCACACCACCATGCTTGACTGTAGGCAAGACACACTTGTCTTTGTACTCCTCAACTAGTTGCCGCCACACACGCTTGACACCATCTGAACCAAATAAGCTTATCTTGGTTTCATCAGACCACAGGACATGGTTCCAGTAATCCTTGTCCTTAGTCTGCTTGTCTTCAGCAAACTGTTTGCAGGCTTTCTTGTGCATCCTATTTAGAAGAGGCTTCCTTCTGGGATGACAGCCATGCAGACCAATTTGATGCAGTGTGTGGCATATGGTCTGAGCACTGACAGGCTGACCCCCCACCCCTTCAACCTCTGCAGAAAGCTGGCAGCACTCATATGTCTATTTCCCAAAGACAACCTCTGGATATGACGCTGAGCAAGTGCACTCAACTTCTTTGATCAACCATGGCGAGGCCTGTTCTGAGTGGAACCTGTCCTGTTAAACTGCTGTATGGTCTTGGCCACCATGCTGCAACTCAGTTTCAGGGTCTTGGCAATCTCCCTTTTAGCCTAGGCCATCTTTATGTAGAGTAACAATTCTTTTTTTCAGATCTTCAGAGAGTTCATGTTAAACTTCCAGTGGCCAGTATGAGAGAGTGAGAGCGATAACACCAAATTTAGCACACCTGCTCCCCATTCACACCTGAGACCTTGGAAACACTAACCAGTAACCACATGATACTGGGGAGGGAAAATGGCTAATTGGGCCCAATTTGGACATCACCACTTAGGGATGTTGTCAGGGCTCCCAGGTATGACCAGAGGTGTGTGACTGATGCAGGGAAACGCAGACTTCAGATATGTGATAAACAATATAATTTATTAACACTAACCATACAAACATAAACGCAGTGCAATACTAAACATAATACAGTGCAAAGAAACCCAACCAACCACCCACAGATAACAGTACATACAAGCAAGCGTCGTCAGGCAGGCCGGGTCAATATCAATTGGGCAGGTAGGTACAGGGGGAGCAAGCAGAGAATGGTCGGGGTTACAGGCCAGGTTCAGCAGGTAGCAAGCAGCGTAGTACAGAGGGTCAGGCAGAGGGATGGTCAGGGTCACAAGCCAGGGATCAAAACAGGTAGCAAGCAGCGTAGTACAGAGGGTCAGGCAGAGGGATGGTCAGGGTCACAAGCCAGGGATCAGAGCAGGAGAAGTCAGCAGCAGTTCAGATCAGGCAGGGTCAGCAAAGGGACAGAAACAGGATGCAGGACAGATACAGGGCCCAGGACAAAACACACCAAGGCAGAGTCTGTGGGTCTGGCCATCCCTTAAATACCCCAGCATCATCAGTTTCAGGTGTTAGCTGGCTGAAAGGTTGAGTCTCTGATTGCTGGGAGCACCCGCTGGCCAGCCCTGGTACTGCAGATCAAAAGGCAGGTGAGTCCCACCATTGCTGGCCAGTCCATTCCTGACAGTACCCCCCCCCTCAAGGAGCGGCCTCAGGACGCTCCAAACAGTCCTAGCTGGGCAAAATGTTCCACCGCCCGGGTCTGGTAACTGGCGGGATATCAAAGACTGGCACACCGGGCAGGACTCCGGGCAGCGGCACACCGGGCTGGACTCCGGGCAGAGGCACATCGGGCTGGACATCGAGCAGAGGCACACTGGGCAGAGGCACACCGGGCAGAGGCACACCGGGCAGAGGCACATCGGGCAGGACTCCGGGCAGAGGCACATCGGGCAGAGGCACATCGGGGGCAGGACTCCGGGCAGAGGCACATCGGGCAGGACTCCGGGCAGAGGCACACCGGGCAGAGGCACATCGGGCAGGACTCCGGGCAGGAGGCACATCGGGCAGGACTCCGGGCAGAGGCACATCGGATTACCAGGTGAAGCAGCAGGCAGCGGGCCACCAGGCGGAGCAGCAGGCACCGGGCCCCCGGGCGGAGCGGCAGGCACCGGGCCCCCGGGCGGAGCGGCAGGCACCGGGCCCCCGGGCGGGGCGACAGGCACCGGGCCCCCGGGCGGGGCGACAGGCACCGGGCCCCCGGGCGGGGCGACCGGCATCGGGCCCCCAGGCGGGGCGACAGGCATCGTGCCCCCAGGCGGGGCGACAGGCACCGTGCCCCCAGGCGGGGCGACAGGCATCGTGCAGCAGGCACCGGGCCCCCAGGCGGAGCGGCGGGCGCCGGACCCCCAGGCGGAGCGACAGGTCTCGGGCCCTCAGGCGGAGCGGCGGGCGCCGGACCCCCAGATGGAGCGACAGGTCTCGGACCCCCAGGCGGAGCGACAGGTCTCGGGCCCTCAGGCGGAGTGGCGGGCGCCGGACCCCCAGGCGGAGCGACAGGTCTCGGGCCCTTAGGCGGAACGACAGGTCTCAGGCCCCCAGGCGGGGCGGCGGGCACCGAGTCACCAGGCACAACAGTGGGCTCCGAGTCAACTGGGATGACCGCTGGCACTGGGTCAGACATTGGATCGTCTGGCTGGACAGCGGGCATCGGGTCACCAGGCATCAGGTCATTTGGCTCGACAGCGGGCACCGCGTCATCTGGCAAGGCAGTGGGCTCCGAGTCAACTGGTATGACCGCGGGCACTGGGTCAGACATTGGATCGTCTGACTGGACAGCGGGCATCGGGTCACCAGGCATCAGGTCATTTGGCTCGACAGCGGGCACCGCGTCATCTGGCAAGGCAGTGGGCTCCGAGTCAACAGGCACGACAGTGAGCACCGGGTCATCAGGTACCGGATTGTCTGGCTCGACAGCAGCGGGCATCGGGTCACCAGGTATGACAGCGGGCACTGGGTCACCAGGCATTGGATCGTCAGGCTGGATCAGTTCATCATGCTGGGTAGAGGCATCAGGCTGAATGCCGGCGTCCGGCTGAGTAGAGGCTTCAGGCCGAGTAGAGGCTTCAGGCCGAGTAGAGGCTTCAGGCCGAGGAGAGAATGGCATCTGGCTGAGTAGAGGCCGAGGAGAGGCATTCAGGCCGAGTAGAGAGGCATCAGGCTGAAGAGAGGCACCAGGCTGAACCACGGAAGGCAGGTTCTCAGACGGCAGGTTCACCGGTTTGGATACTGGCAGGATGGTATTGGTTGGAAAGAATTTTTGCTTTTTTCTGGTTTTAACTACTGGGGCACTGCAAGTAAACGCAGGTCTGCAAACGAATGGAGCAGCTGGAGACAGAGAAGAGCTGGAGGATGGAACAGGAGAGGGAGCAGTTGCTACAGGGTTAAAGGCAGGATAGGTGCAGCGAGTGGGAACAGGGTACTGACATGCGGTAGATAGCAGGGCAGGAGGAGCTGTTGGGAATGCAGGAATAGAGTTTTGAGGAAATAGATTAGAAGCAGGACTGGGTCTTTGTAAGCTGACTGAGGCTGGGTGCAACAAGTCTGTCCATGTCTGCAGTATGGGTTGAACAAAGCTGAGCTTACACAAAGCCTGTCTGACCAAAGACTGCACTGCGTTTATACAATCTCTTAGTGTCTGTGGTGAACATGTGGAATAACGCTCCAGAAAGTAACCCACATCATCCTCTAATAACCACACCAGGGACTCTACCTGGTCTGCACTAAATGGTGGCAAAAAATTCATCCCTGCATTCGGGGGTACCAGATGAAACCAACTCAGCACAAACCTCAATCAATGGCTGCACCTCAGAGAACTCTGTGCCCTGATCTACTAGAACATGAGCGAGCCGTATACATTCTAGCAGTTCATCCCGGGGATACTCCTTCAGAGTTTGATAAGCATACTCCCTGTCATCAAACACTAGCAGATATAAATACTCAACCTCATCAAGATCCATCCTTCCCATCAACAAGCCAAGATGGCTTCCCTGTGCAGCCACTTCTGGTCAGGATTGGCCTTGGTGTAATGTCAGGGCTCCCAGGTATGACCAGAGGTGTGTGACTGATGCAGGGAAACGCAGACTTCAGATATGTGATAAACAATATAATTTATTAACACTAACCATACAAACATAAACGCAGTGCAATACTAAACATAATACAGTGCAAAGAAACCCAACCAACCACCCACAGATAACAGTACATACAAGCAAGCGTCGTCAGGCAGGCCGGGTCAATATCAATTGGGCAGGTAGGTACAGGGGGAGCAAGCAGAGAATGGTCGGGGTCACAGGCCAGGTTCAGCAGGTAGCAAGCAGCGTAGTACAGAGGGTCAGGCAGAGAGGGATGGTCAGGGTCACAAGCCAGGGATCAAAACAGGTAGCAAGCAGCGTAGTACAGAGGGTCAGGCAGGGGGATGGTCAGGGTCACAAGCCAGGGATCAGAGCAGGAGAAGTCAGCAGCAGTTCAGATCAGGCAGGGTCAGCAAAGGGACAGAAACAGGATGCAGGACAGATACAGGGCCCAGGACAAACACACCAAGGCAGAGTCTGTGGGTCTGGCCATCCCCTTAAATACCCCAGCATCATCAGTTCCAGGTGTTAGCTGGCTGAAAGGTTGAGTCTCTGATTGCTGGGAGCACCCGCTGGCCAGCCCTGGTACTGCAGATCAAAAGGCAGGTGAGTCCCACCATTGCTGGCCAGTCCATTCCTGACAGATGTACTCACTTTTGTTGCCAGCTGTGTGTTGAGTTATTTTGAGGGGACAGCAAATTTACACTGTTATACAAGCTGTACACTCACTACTTTACATTGTAGTAAAGTGTAATTTCTTCAGTGTTGTCACATGAAAAGATAGAATAAAATATTTACAAAAATGTGAGGGGTGTACTCACTTCTGTGAGATACTGTATATTTGTTTAACATATTTTTTTGCCTGCTATTTACACCTAAAGCAACCCTTGTGTAGATATCCAAAGCCAATCCAAAGCCCTAAGACTGCTGCTGGGCATCTTCATCTTGTGATGACAGCATTCCTTGCAGACTTTCTAGCAGACTTAAAGTACTCATATCCTCTACTGGAAGTCACATAAAAGGTAATGTACGGAGGTGAAGCAAGGGATTGAGAAAACTGGGGCAACACCAAGATTAATGGAAGGAGGTAAGTGGTTTATTAGGAGATTGATGTTTATTTGTAAGCATTTAAAATACAATTTTTTTATTTTACTCAAAGCCACCACAGTTTTGTAAGAAAACAATTAGCCAAACTGCTTGTGCAAAATATGTACAGTTTATTTAATACAATGAAAATATAAAATATGTAACACCCTAACCCTTAAATAATCCCAGCTCATCAAGGAATCCCTTAGAATGTAAATACCAATAGTAGGGTAATAAAACCTAATTAAAATAATTTATTAAAAAAGGGGTATAAACCAAGAATTGTATGTAAATAAATAAAGATTTTCACACTTGCAGTAACAATGTAAACTAAGTATCAGAAAGAGCCCTCCCACAGGCTTAGTCTTAAAGCCGTTGTTACATGTTCACACATGAAGTGGTACTCTTAACTTTTCCTAGGATAACAATAAAAACTAATTGCACTTTTACGCTCCAATAGGAATTCTCTAAATATAACACAAGATATCTCAAAAGATACTCTCAAAAAATGCCCGTGACCACAAGATAACCAAACATGTTTATAAATTGCAATAACCACCTATATACCAAGCATAACTATGAAGCATCCTAATTAATATAGTGTGAACATGCAAAAAAGAATGTAACTGTGATGGCAAAATGTGATTGCACACCATGATAGAAAGCTATTCTATGGATGCCCCTTGATACCTTTTTACAGCTTCAATATAGGGTATGGAACTTATTCCTGGGTCTTTACTAGTTTTTTCCCTCAATCCTTAGTTTCTTTTGTTATGCCAGGAATCTATAGCCTTCTGTGTTAGTTTTTGTATGTTAGCACGTGTATATTGTGTAGCACCCTCCTAGGTAGGTTGCTAGGGTGTGTATAGTCTAGTTTAGTATAGTGTGGTCTCTTTGCTTGACAGAGAGGCCAGTAGGTAAACCATAGCAGCTTTTCTGCTTAACAGGAAGCTACAATTTCACAGTTGCTGGAGAGATCCCATGTGGCTCATTGGTGCGCTGTGATTGGCGCTCTCTCTGTATCAAGGAGACCATGGAAGGTTCTGGGTGAACAGGAGTGGTGGTTGGGCCCCTGGGAATGCTGGGATACTAGTATTTATCTACAGTAAGCACATGTGATCTGCGTTCTTCCTCGTTTCTCTCCCTGGGAGAAGGGAGCTTCAGACAGGTGGAGTGCAGCTGCCTCCCTGGCTGCATGCTCGCCAGGAGGCCTCGGGGTGGTGCGACCAGGAAGGCCAGAATGCTGAAACATGCCATCGTGCTTACTGAGAGATGACTGAGGAGGGGATGTCTACAGATCATGTCTGGTATCACGAAGGAGAAGGTTGACTTGCTGTTAACTAAAAGGATGTTGGGTTAGTGTGTGAGTCCAGACTGTACTTCAGGATTTAGACAGCTGGGATACAGTGGTGCTGTTGCGTTAACCCCCCCCATTCTGGACCTATATAGGCAGCTGCTGGGATGGTAAGCCAGTCGGGAGGACACCAGCTGGCTGTCCAGAAGAGCAACTGTCCCACCTATGGCTGCATATCTATAGTGGGACTAGTTGCTCCATTCTTGGTCATCCATAGATCGCTTAAAGGAAAGCAGTCCTCAATTGTGCATAGTTTGATCCAGAGTATGTCTCCCTACTATTATTCTCTTCCTTGGGGTATCCAGTTCGACCAAAGAATAGACCAGAATTGAGAAGAACAACAAATAAAACTGCAACCCCCCTAGACTGATCAGTGTGGGGAGTAAGTAGTGAGGCATGAACGTTGTGTTGCATCTTCAGATAGGAGAAGTTTGGGTGTGCGCGCTTTGATGCGAGGAGTAAAATCTAGGGTAAAGGGCATGCCTTGGCAATGTTTCCCAGCGGGCTATCTGCGGGGATAATTGCTGTAGGATGTTTACAGTTATTTTTGGGTGTTGTCTTTATGTAGAGTGGCTAGTTCACGCCTTTCGTCACTTGTGTTTTGAAGAGAAGTACTCCTTCCCACATATTGAAGGGCAGTGCTGGCTTGGTATAATTTAACAGGAGGATGAGAGGTATGCATGCTTGTCACGCCATGCTTTTTGTGGGCGCCATGCCATGTATGAATTCTTGTGATATGGTGTGCGGGTGTTGGACTATGTTGGAGGGGACCCCCTGGCAAAGACCCTTGTCTCAATGTTGATGAAGAACAACGGTCCTGCTTCTCTCACAAGGCACCTGTGGTCTGGTGGGTAGGGGGATACGGTCCATTCTCAGATTACCCGGGCCCCCCTCTAGTGAATGAGCGAGTCTGTACGGCGTGCAGTAGACCCCTACTTCACAACAAAAAAGAAAGAGTACATAAAAAAACAGACAGGGATCTGGCCTATAATAACAAAAAGATTTTATTTTAACAGGACTAGTTTGCACTTTAAATGTTTATTTAATATTTATTATTTATTTATTTATCGAGTTTATATAGCGCCAAAGGTTTGCTCAGCGCTGTACAATAGAGGGGGGGACAATACATGAAACAGAACAGTATCATCAAACAGCACACGAGGGGTTAGAGGGCCCTACTCTTTCGAGCATACAATCTAGGAGGGAGGGGGTAGCGGCACAGGAGGAACGGCTGTGGGGATGGAGTGGTAGGAGGAGGGAAGGCAGCGGCTGTTAGGTGAGGGTGGGGTAGGCTTCCCTGAAGAGGTGGGTTTTCAGGAGCGCCTGAAGGTGAGGAGGGAAGGTGACAGTCTGATGGATTGGGGTAGTGAGTTCCAGAGGATGGGGGAGGACCTGGAGAAGTCTTTGCAGCGTGCGTGGGAGGAGGAGACCAGGGAGCAAGATAGAAGGGAGGTCCTGTAAGACGAAGGGTACGGGTAGGGTGGTACCGGGGAAATCAGGGGTGGGGTATTTTAGGGGCAGTGTTTGTGAATGGCCTTATGGGTCAGGGTGACAATTTAAATTTAATCGTTGGCCAATGGGAGCCAGTGGAGGGAGAGGCAGAGGGGGGGGCAGAGGTGGAGCGGGGGGGTGAGGGGGAGGGTCGGGCCGCTGATTTCAGGGGGTCTGAAGCGGGAGAGCCTGCACCGGTGGGCCCGGGTGAGGAGGGATTGCAGTAGTCCAGGCGGAGATAACGGGGAGGTACTAGTAGTTTAGGGGTGTCTGGGGAAGGAAGGCGAAACTTGGCGATATTGCGGGGTGGGTTCTGCATGTGTTTTGTGGGATTGAATGAGTTTGAAAGGAAAGGTTTTTGAGCCCCGAAGACGCCAAGGACTTTGTTTGCTGGCGGGTTTAAAGGTGTGTTTTTTGGGTATGAGGAAAGGTGGGGGGGGGGCGCGGCTGGGGGAAATAAAGCTGGGTTTTGGAGGGGTTGATTTGAGGAAAGGGAGCGACATCCATCAGAGATTCGTTAGGGGGTGAGGATGCGGGCGGAGAAGGGGGGGTAGGTGAGGGGGGATAGGAGATTTG